AGGTTTGTTCCCTCGCGCGCGAGGGAGGAATCGCAGCCGAGCGCTGCGGTTGGTCTGCCGCTGAATCCAGCGGCTGATTTGAGCTGCCTGAGCCGCCTTGGCCGTGCTTCTCCTTTCCTCCGCTTAAGTGAAATACAGGTTCCTGGCAAGGAGGATGCTCTGGCCTGAGGCGGGCGAGACGAAGAGCAGGCAGACCGTCTCCAGGAGATGTGTGCTTAGCCCCGTGTGAATGCTTCTCGTGAAGAAGAAATAGTAGTGTGCTTTTTGCTTTTCAGCTTCTCTGCTTGGGAAGTATGCCCCAGCACTTAACTGACTTTCCTTAGCGCTCTTTTAGCCACCCGTTCGTTTGTCCTGAGCGATCCCAGAGAACGTGGAAAACGTTTGATCGCCTTTCACCAGTTCATCTTGCCTGTGTTAGGCTAAATACATTCATTTTCTTCACCTTTTTCCTCCTTCGTCATGTTCTCTAGACCCCTTCCTGTTCGTGTTAATTTTCTGTGGCCCTTCCAGTTTTTGCTTAAAGGGTAGTTAGTATCTCAAAAAAAAAGAGGCATTTCAAGTGCAGCACTAAATGTATACTATTAGGATTTGCCCTTCCTTCTCTATCATGATTGTATCCCTTAATAGAGGGAGACTGAACCTGGGGACTATAATGTGACCCCCTTGTAAGGCCTGTGGCAACATTTCTTTCTCTGTATTATCCAGTAAAATGCTATAAAATTGTGTGGTATCTGAAGGTCTGCTTGACCTCAGGTAAGGCAAGATGTCTTGCCTGCAGATTTGTGTGGCATTGTGATTTAATGAAAGAAATACTGATGAATCTTTTTAGTGGTAATACATAAACTTGCGTTCCCTTTCCATAACTCTGTCCGTACCCTTGTTATCTGTGTTTGAATACTATCCAAATACTTTCTTTTAATCTGCTGTGATGTGAAAGGGCATGAAGCCTTAAAAACGAAGTTTAAAAGTATGAACGTTTATACCTGGTGATGAATTTGCAGGAGCAGTTAACTGTAGCGGTAAACGTGCTGTGGTTATACGTATAGTTAAGCTGCAGCAGTGCCTTATTTGAATACTCACACTGAAAATCAAAATCTTCCTGGACCTTCAAGTTAGATCCTGACTCATTCTTTGCTGCTTCTGAAGTAGGCATGTGAAAATGAAAGGTGCTGTACTCTGTTTTCCTGCAGAGACTTTGAAAAGTCAAGCGTAGAAGACTTCTCAGTGCATTTGGTCAGAATCATTAGGTACTTGCATACCTTGTTTTGTAGTAGGCAGTTCACTAATACTGCTGTCTGTCCATGGAGGTGCCACTGTTTAGCCTCTGGACTCCTAAAACTTTAAAGAAGTACTGCAAGTATGCCCAAATTAGCTAGGAATTTCCCAGCTCTACGTTTTCTTGGTTTTTTTTTTTTTTTTTTTGGTCTTCTACGACTGGTTTTTAACCTAGCTCCTTTGTGAGAAAAATGTATTAAAAAGGCCTATGCCATGTCCTTGTCATGTTATTTTGTAGCTCTCTGGATTTAGAACAATGTTCTCTCAAAGTACTGGAGCCAGAAGGAAGTCCAAGCTGGAGTCTCCTGAAACTGCTGGGTGATAGGGGTTGCACTGTGGTGGAACTGGTGGAGTTCTTGCAGGCCTTGGAGCATACGGAGGCTCTCCAGTGTCTCAGTCATTCAGGTCAGTTCTGGTTTGTGCTTTCACTGCAACTGTATGTTTTACACAGGAAACAGTAAAGTATGTGAATTTTCTACAGTGGTTTAAAAACCCTTCTGTTGTTCAAACTTTCATGATTGGTATCATTCGTATGATTCATTGGTGCGTATTGTGGCAACTGAAAACAGTGTGCGATCTGAGGGCCCAAAACGTCCCTCTAATCCAACCTGAGTCAAGCTAACAACAGGAGGGGTCCTTTCCCCTTTGAGATTCATCTGGCTGGGTGGTAAATTCTACTATGAGTGGCAGTGCTCATGCAAGAGTAGAGTCATGAGAGAGTTTCTGGGTAGCTAGGGCCAAAACTGCCCCTTCTTGTGGCAGCATGGATGTATACTGGATTGAAGAGTATGGCCCTGGGGTACAGGCGCATAAGGTACTGCAGTTCTGAGTTGCTGTCCCTCACTATATCAAGGTAACTGGAGAAAGAGGGTGCTTCTTGACTGACCTTGTATGTTCCCTGGGGCTCCTACTGCACCTTGTTGTCTTCTTTGCCCTGCACCCTGTAGCATTAACGCTCTCATCAGGCCTTAAATCAAATCCTTCTTCCTGAAGTCTGGCAATCACAGTGTGGCTGTCTTCCAGGCATCATGGGTCTTGAAAGGCTCATTTTTCAAGTTTGAAGAATGGTGCTGGGATGTACATAGGTTTTAATCCTGTCTGGGGCCCTCTTTGCTGATACCAGCTATTAATGCCTTCTAGCATAACACCAAAACCTGGTGTTACTAAGCTTCATCTTCACCTGTTGCTTAAGTACTTAAGATTATAGCTTGTCTCAGGTATGTTTAGTCTTCGTTACATGGAGGATGTCTAGCAACTTCAGGAAGTGTGCTGCAGCTTCTCAGATTCCTCTTTGAGAACCGCTATGAAGAGCAGTTTTCAGTTTTCATTGTTGAGCAAATGAGCCACAAACTTACGCTATTGCCTAAAATTCTTCAATTCTTTCAACTGTTTTTTATCCTACAAACCCACATCCTTCTTCTTTACTCCGTTATCTTTTTTTTTTGTCCTGGATTATATGCAGATTGTGAACTCTATGCAGAGTTTGTCTTATTTGTCTAAAACAGTGGGCATTAATCTTTAAATTATGTCCATTGCTTCTATGTAAATAGCAAACTTTAAAAAGTTTTTGTTATAGTTAAAATGGCAAAAGTTGAGGGAGATTAATAAGGAGTCCAAAAAAAACCCCAACCTCGGTGAACTTCAGAGTTTGTTCAGTACTTGGTTCTGAACTTTAGAATCTACAAATACTGATACACCATAATAGTCACAAAGGTGTGGCTTAGTCTTGCACTTCCTATCTTTAACTGGCAAGTGTAAATGAATTCCCATTACAACCTGTAATGCGTTCTGGGACACTTTTTATTAGTTTATATGACCTGGACCAGGTTTTGTTAGTTTATGTAACCTGATATGTTGCAGGCTATTAAAATGAGAGCTAAATGTAAGTAACAACTTTTTTATTAGAGCTATAATGCTGTTTGAGAAGAAATGGTCAGTAGCATAGTTATCCTGCAGCATGCCCAAATCAGCTCTAAGGGGATAACGACAATGTTTTCGGCTTCTGGCTTCTCTTGGTCTAGATTTTTACAAGCAGATTTTTGCTTTTTGCTGGTATCATGACTGCAGAATTGCTGTGCTGAAAGATGTCTTAGTGCTGTGCCCAAAGGTATAAGCATTCAGTATGGCAGTTAAAACAAAAGTGTTTTAAGCCAATACTCTTGAGAGACTATCTGCTTTAGACCTGATAAATGATATAGCAGTGTCTGTTGCGAATGGCTCTGTGCTTCAAAGTCCTCCTTACTTCACATTTCTCTACAGGTTTAGTTTGGAGTGTTGCAGGCATGGTTATGAAAGCAATTTTGTACCACTGTAAGTTAGGATAACTGCCCTCATTCTTCATAGTAGTATGATCCAGTGAGAGTGTTAGTTTTGTTTCTGCTGGGAAACGAAGCTTATATGGTATATCTCAAAACCTGTTTTGAATCCAGTGGCTGCTGTCAGCTGAATGAGACAAGATATAAAAAATGGTTAGGATTTTTAAAAAGTTATATAAAATAAGCTGCAGGTAAGGCAGGAATCCTTCTAAGTGCTTGAGCTGTCCGTGTGGAAATAACTCTGAACCTGTGGAAGGCTACTTAGGAGTGTGCACAGGTTGACTTTGCTAGGGCTTTTTTTTTTGAGTGAAAAGAGGCAAGGAGGGGGGATTTAAATCCTTCAGTGACTGAAAATGTATTTGAAAATGAATTTCAGATCTGGCCATATGAGTAATTGCTGTAGAAACAACATGCAGTACGTTTACTGCATCTGGAAATATCTTGATAAGAGGAAAAACAGGAATACAGGACTGTCTGTGTTCTTCCCTTTGCTAGGTTACTTGCTGCAGCCACTAAAATGCCTAATTTTGTGTGTTTGGAATGACAGCTAAATACACGCAGGTATCCTGTGGACATGCCCTTGAGTCAGAAAGCTTTTAGAATGCAGTAGCATCTGAAGCTGCTTCCTACCTTAGTACACAGCCTGGCCTCCTTTTTTTTCATGCCCTCCTTCTGCAGAATATGGTGACATTCAGTCTACTTGGGAGTTACAAAAGCTCCTCTTCAAATGAGGAGTGGGAATGAGACTAGCAAGCTATTTGCCGTACTCATAGCTGTCCTTTTCTTTGGAAGTATGAAAAAAGAAGCCATGGACTGAGAGCAATTGCTAAAACAACCCTGGAATTTTTCAAGTGACCTGCTATAGCAATATTCTGCAACTATTTCATCTAGTTAAGGCTGCTACTTCTTACTGTACTAGATATGCCGTGTTGGGTTGAATGAGATGTAGTTGAGCTACGTGATAATTTAGCCTCGCTGAAATGCTCCGCTGTAGACTGGGGAGAAAAGGAGAATTGGTGTTATGTCAATGCGAGTGGATTTTGCTCATAGGGGTAAGACAGTTGGGGTGAAGGAATATGCGGTACGATGCTATCCTGCACTACTACTACTGCAGGCAGGAAAGCTTGTTCATCTTTTATTGGTCTCTGTATGATGGTTGATGGCGGAGTACTGAAAATACAGAATGGTCCTAGTTCACGTTTGCACTCAGAGTGGCAGCATTGACAGCCAAAACATTGTGCCTGCTTGAGCTGTAACTGTCTCAAGTATTGCCCTAGTTGAGTTAAGGATTTTTGTGTGACTGACAGTCAAGTTGCATTTTGAAATATGTAATGAAGACTAAATCCTGGATAAACATTGGAACCTGCTAGATCACAAAATTGTGAGATAATGAAGTTAGGAAACTGGGTAGATGGTTACGATACCTGTATGTTGAGGAAACAAGCCAATCAGTATACTTCTGCCAAGACCCCTTTGAATTACAAAGATGCTCTTGCTTGTTATAAATTATTATTATTTTTTATGTATATATTATATGTTATAAATCTCTTATGGAACTGTATGAGACATGATGGATTGGACCACAACTTTGATTCGGTCTCCTATAAGGAGGACTAGCTAGCTTTAGAGTGCCTGAAAACTTGGAACCAGGAGAAACCAAAGCAAAAGGTATTTGAAGACAGTTTGGTTCTAAAAGGGCTTTTGAATCATTTAAAAAGTAATAGCCCTTGCTATTTGGGGTGAGTTTGTTTGAATATTTGGGGGCAGTGGGTTGTTTTTACTTTTAGAAATTTAGTCTGTGCCTACACTTGAAGTCACAGTGCTTGTTCATAACTGCCCATTAGTTCTAATAACTAAAAGAAGCATGAATGTTGCTCAAGCTCCTTTAGTAGTGGGATTGTTTAATGTAGCACCTCGTCTTAGTAGTTTGTTAGACTGTTTTCTGCCAGCCTAATTTATGCAATTACAAAGATAAAAAGCTTTTTGAGCCTCTTAGTGTATAGGGTAACATGCGTACAGTTTTAATGCTGATGAGTGGTCTGTTTTGACAGTGATACTACTTCAGTGCCTTTATGTCACAGGTGTATTGTTATAGCTGAGACATGGCTTTGTTTTGCAGTAAGGATCTCAGAGAGTTGCAGAGTCCCAGAAACGTTGTGTCTGCAAGCTTACAGACTTGCCTGTCACACTGGATTAACTGCGTAGAAGAGCTCCTCTAACCAAACACAAAAACTAGCAATACTAATAATTTTAAAGCTCTCCTTTTTGGTAATAAGAAAGCCTAGACATCCTGCTCCTTGGGTCACCTTTCTGTCCTTTCTTCCATTGTTTAGTCTTGTCATATTGTGAACCCTCTGGAAATGATTGAAATGCAAAGACCTTTCTCCCAAGCTAAGAAGCAAAAAGCTCAGCGTGCAGTTTGTGGTGTTAGTCCGGTCCTTGTGCAGCCTCACTGATTTGTGCTGGTTGAAAGGAGGAACGAGGTACTTCCTTTCCCCAGACAGTTCTCTTATTGCAGCAGTGTAGGCACTTCAATCTGAATGTCAATGATTGAGGCTGGGTTTGCAGAAATGATTAAACTTTTTTACTAATGTGTAAGCTAAGAAGATAACAGTTGGGTTATAGTTAAGTACTGAGTTTATGCTGCATGTTGGAATCTCTGATAACCATGAAATGTCACTTTCCTGTCCTTAAGGGTATACCTTGTGCATTCATGTTCCAAGGAAAATTGAAGAAGCATTAGCATATCTTTGTAATCATTCCAAAAGCTGATCCAGAAGGTTTTCTTTGTAACCTATTAAATTCTGTGATGCTTGCAGGAAGTAGCTGTACGATGCTAAATGAATGACTTCAGAGTGAATTTATAAAGATCTGGCAGGAAAATAAATGAAACATTGAAGAAATTATGAATCATTTTTCTTAGAACTTGTTTGCAACACCTCTGTGGAGTACAAGATACTAATTTTTCAGAGAATTTGTTTTTCTCAAATACTTTCTTATAAGAGAGGTTAGTGATGTGGATCAGGAGAGACTGAAAAATAAAAGTAAAAAAGTCTTTTGGAATGAGCAAATCTTAAACAAATGCCCAAGGAAGAAAAATTAAGTAGTACGCTTCCTGTTTGTCTTGGTTAATGTTAGGTGATTGTGATGCTCAAAAATTGTGTTTAACATGCTCCCTTTATTTCAAAAAAGCATGGGAGGAAGTGTTAAATGAGGAACCGAGGTAGCAGTCTTCAGGGCTTGACTATAGAGGAAAACTATTCTAGAAGATAGGCAGGGAATTTTCAAGTGCTGCAGCTACCCTGGGGTAGCTCCCTGTGCGGTCAGCTGTTTCGGAGTAAGGTTGTGTGCGGAGGAAGCTGGTATAGCCCACTTCCCTGCTTGTCAAACACTGTGTGATTTCCCAATGTCATATAATCTCTGTTTCAGTCTACTGATCAGACCTGTTTCTGCCCAAGTTTCAGCCTACTGACCACATCATTACAGATAGATACAGTTTCTCTCCTCATGCCCTCTCGGTTAGGAAAAAGTTCTGATGTATATACTTAGCTATTAAACTAAATGAGGGAAAAAGCAGACAAAAGGAAAACTCCTGGCAGAGTATAGTAAAAAGGGTTGGAGCAAGTGATAATCTTGAGTCTCGTTACCAGGATGTTTGTGATCTCTTTGCAGCTATTTTTGCACACAGCTTCTGTCTTACTCTATATATAGTCTGTAAGTTCACTCCCCTGCCCAATCTTGAATGCTGCTTCTGTACCAAACTACGCATTCAGCTTCTGCAGTGTGGTTTCATTAAACTGTAATGAAAAAACCTACCTTCTCCCACAACAGGGAAATCGGACTGAATCCAAACAAAACAAAATCTTTAGTATGAGTACCTATTTTTCATCTGATTCCTAATTTCGGAGTGTAGTGAAAAGATGAAGAAGCGCCCCTAACATTTGTTATTTCTGTGCTTTTTCTGTTACTAGTATTATTGGTAGCAATTAGTATTGGATATGGTCCCACCATATGGGTTATGGGCACCCCATCCGTGGGTTATTAAATGTATTTTACCATCCGTAGCA